GATGAGAGGAAAAGAGAGAGGGGAGAAGAAAGAGTGAGAGATGAGAGAAAGAGAGAGAGATGGGAGAGAGGAAGAAAGAGAGAGAGAGAGATGAGAGAAAGAGAGAAAGACAAAGACAGAGAGAAAGAGAGAAAGAGAGAGAGAGAAAGGAGAGAGAGACACACACACAGAGATAGTGAGAGACATACACAGAGAGATACCTGTTTCCCAGAGAAAAGAAAATACCAGGAGCCACAAAACCTGGGTAAGCGTGGCTGGGGGGGTGTCATGTGACTGGGTGGGAGTGAGTGACATTGAGTTGGCTATGCTTGGTGGCTCCCACTGTTTTCTTTTCTGTGGGAAATAGTCCTAATGGCTCTTTGAGTGTTTAAGGTTGCAGACCCCTGGCCTAGGACTAAGTCATGCCTAAAACTCCTTAGCTGACAGGTTTCCTGACCTGCCTTTCCTTCTGGACTTGATGGAATGGGTAGATATACTGTATTGGAGGACAGAGTTCCCTCAAATGATCTGTTCCCAATTCCTGAAGGGCTTTAAAGGTCATAGCTAGGACATTTGAATCCGGATCCAGAATCACATTAAAGCTATTATGATCCTCCATCCAGAAGGTCATCAATGCTTGAGAGTAGCATTGATGTAAAATCCCTTGTAAAAGGGATTCTTTTAAAATAGCATTCCTCAAATTGGCATCCTCCAGATATGTTAAGTTAGAAACTGACTATGCAGCACAAAAAGTTCCAATCCATCTGGAAGTGTCATTTTGGAAAAAGTAACATTAAGGATTAAATATCTCTGTATGGATCTTTCAATTCAGTTCTTAACCTACTTCGGCTAAGCATGAGTTTCTGGGTTCCCCTTTTTATTTGAGTTATTTTTTCTCAGCCTGAAAATCACCAAACATATTGGAACAATGTAACATCTGTTCATTTGCACTTATTTGTCAATAAAGCATTCTGATGCAGATCTAAAAAAGAAGAAGAGGAAGAAGACAGACAGCTCCCCACTCCATTCCACAAGTTACCAAAATATGTCCTACTTTTGCTCTTTTATTTCGTAATCCTTTGGGTATCAAATAGTAGGGCAGGTGGGAACAAATGACACGAGGTGATGGGCGATTGGGTAAATCTGCACGGAAAATATTATACTCCAGCCATGGTGCTCTTTCAATCAGGGTAATATTTTCAGTACCATCTCGATGACCTTCATAAAGAATCAAGCTCACAATGTTCTGAGTCCACACTGTGCCTGTAAATAAGAACTAATTAAATTAATTCATCCAAGGCCATTATTATTATTTGGAGAATGTTCAACATACAAAAAACAAGAAAAAAGTCAAATGACCAGTCCACTAATGGGAGAAGATGGCAAAGAAGTAATGGGAAGTAGAAAGAAAATAGAACTGCTTAACTCATACTTCAATCAGAGGTGGTATTCAGCTGGTTCTGATCAGTTCTGCAGAACCGGAGTGGAAATTTTGAGTAGTTCGGAGAATCAGTAGTGGAAATTTTGAGTAGTTCAGAGAACTGGCCAATGCCCCCTCTGACTGGCCCCACCCCCATCTATTCTCTGCCTCCCATTGAGTCCCAGCTGATCAGCTGGGTCTTCTTTGGTTGCCCTGCACAGCAGAATGGAGCTGGAAAGCAGGTTAGTGAGGTGGGGAGGGAATGGGGATTTTACAGTAACCTTCCCCTGCCACACCCACCAAGCCACACCATGCCCACCAAGCCATGCCATGCCCACCAAGCCACATCCACAGAACCGGTTGTAAAAAAAATTGAATCCCACCACTGCTTCACATCTATCTTCATACAAAAAAAGAAAAACACTACTCAACTTACCCCAAAAAGAACCCTAAATGACATGTTCAGAATGTAAATTAAAATATGCAAAAATAAAGTAAGAGAACATCTGCCAGTTCTAGACGGATTCAAATCACTAGGTCCTGACAGACTACACACCAGACTTTTGAAGGAACTGGCAAACGTAATTTCAGAGTCATTGAAACATATATTTCAATGTTCTTGGATCACCGGCGAAATACCTGAGGACTGGAAAAAGCTGGTGTGGTCCCTGTCTTCCAAAAAGGAAAAAAGAAAAACAGATTCAGGAAATTACAGATCAATCAGCCTGACATCAATACTTGGGAAGACCTTGGAAAAGATAATCAAGCAACAAATCTGTGAACAACCTAGAAGCAAACAGGGTTTTAATCAGAAGCCAACATGGGTACATTGAAAACAGATCATGCCAAACAAATCTTATTTCATTCTTCACCAAAGTGACCAAATTAGTAGATGAGCGAAATGCTATGAACATAGTACACTTAGACTTCAGTAAACCATTTGATAAACTCGATCACACCCTACTTCTTGGCAAACTAGCAAAATGTGGGATAGATAGCATTACCACTAGGTGGGTTTGTAACTGGATGACAAACTGTACTCAACATGTAGTGCTCAACATAACTACATCCACATGGAGGGAAGTAACCAGTGGGGTATCCCAAGGTCCCAGTACTCTTCAATAACTTCATAAATGATATAGATGAGGGAATTGAAGAGGAACTCATCAAATTTGCAGACAATATTAAGCTGACAGGAATAGTCAACACCCCAGAAGACAAGCTCAGGATCCAAAAAGATCTTGACAGATTTAAATACTGCAATTTATCTTACAAAATGAAATTCAACATAGATAAAAGTAGGGTATTTCACTTAGGCAAGAAAAACCAACTGTATAAGTACAGACTAGGTGAAATTTGGCTTATTCCCAGTAACTATGAGAGGGATCTTGGAGTCCTAGTGGATAATCACTTAAATATGAGTCAACAATGTGTGGCAGCAGCAAAATATCAATGCAATCCTAGGCTGCATTAATAGAAGGATAGAATCAAGATCAAGTTAAGTTCTAGTACTGCTTTACATAGCCTTAGTAAAACCACACTTGGAATACTGCATCCAGTTCTGGTCACCACAATATAAAAAAGATGTTGAGACTCTGCAAAGTGTGTCGAGAAGATCAACAAAAATTATTAGGGGGCTGTACACTAAAACATACAAAGAACAGCAACAGGAATTGTGTATGTCTAGTCTAATGAAAAGAAGGACTGGGGATGATAAGATAGCACTATTCCAATATTTGAGAGACTTCTACAAAAATGAGAGGGTCAAACCAGTGGTGGGATTCAAATTCTTTTGGTACGGGTTCTGTGGGCATGGCTATGTGGTCATGTGATGGGGGAGGTCAAGTCTTTTTTTTCTTTCAAGAAATAGTTCACAAAGATCCCAAAGTCACAAAGCAAACCAAATCAAAGCAAACAGTTTCATTTAGCACTTTCTTATTTCTATATTTTCTCTTCCTAGGGTAGAATTCAAATACACAGTTCCAAAGTAATCTTCTAGAAGTCATAATACCTTTTTATTTCTGATCTTATAAACTCAAAGCAGTCTCCTTCAGTATGATCTTAAAATAAATCTTTACCTCTTCCCTTCCACTTATAGCAAATAAAAAGAATTTTAAGTTTTTAATTCCAATGTCCAGAAATCCTTTATCTCCTTGGCTTTAAATTTCAAGTTTACCTTCTATGCCCAAGCAGGTTTTCCAGATTTCCAACTGCTGTTTCTGTGGGAAGGGAGAGTGAAAGAAAGTAACTTTCCCTTTCAGCTTTTTCCTACCACTTTTACGATCTTCCTTGGGAGACAATGTATCCTTCAAACGATTTAGTTTCCAGGGTATTTAGAGATTGCTTGTAGTCCCGGTTCAGCCAAAACTTTCACCTTCACCTACTTCCTCCTGCACAAATCTTACCCAGCTGCAGGCTTCTTTGTGGCAGCCATTGCTGACTGCCGCCCCACCACCTTGGGAAAAAGGGGTTTTGCCGGCTGAGGAGGGAGTTTGCGATACCCCCAAACCCAAATCCGGATCCCCTCTCTCTTCGGCTGCCTATACGGGGCAGCCCTATCCTCCGGATCCATCTGGATCAGAGGAACCTCGGCAGCGAGCACAGCAGGAATCGTGGAGGATCGTGAATTCCTGCCGCTGCCGAAGCCTTGCAAAACCGGAAACCTTTCTTGAAAGATTAAAGATATTTGGGTTGTTTTTAAAAAGGGGGGGGAAATGGCATTATCTTTTGAAGAATTACAAATGGAATTTCAAAAATTGAAAGAAGAGGAACAGGAAGGCATGGGCTCTTGTGGATCTATTTTCCACTTTTTAGAAATGGTGATTGCTACCTATCAAGAAATACAACAGCAACAGGCAGGCTGGGATCAAGAAGAAAAAGCCATCTTTAATGGACAAATACTCTTAGTGGAGGAAGAAAAGCGTAAGGGGGGCAAAGAAATGGTGAATTCAGGACTTAAAAAAGCAACCAAGAAAAAGGAAAATAAGATGAAAAATCGATATGATGTCAGAAAGCAACAGAAAAGAGAAATACAACAGAGAGGGAAGATAAAGAGAGTGAAACTTGAGAGATTGAGTGGATCAAAAAGCTAGAATTGACAAGGAAGGAAGGGAAAAAGCAAAAAGAAGTCATAAAAGCTTTAAACAAGATGTTAAAAAACAGTTTTTTTTTCAGAGATAAGGGGTAAGATATAATTTTATAAAAATGATCCTGCAAAAGTACATAAGATTGTATGGTAGATATTAGTATTTGAAATTGAATTAGAAAATTAAAATATTATATGAATTAATAATGCATTAAAGGGAAGCTATGAAAATGTTTAAGATTTGATAATAGAGTCTAATTTACTATGAAATATTGCTCTTATTATATTATAAACTCAATATTCCTTTTTTCTTGGTTTTATTATTACTTATTAAATTTAATATTATTTGCTTGTTTTATTATTTTGAAATGTAGTACTTAGAATGTACGAAGCAGAATCAGTATGGAAAGTATGTATTATCTTAAGTGTAAAATTTAGGGGAAAGATAAAAAGTTGTCATACTTCAACCAGTGTTTACAGGAGAAATATTGTATTAGAAAGAAAGGAAAAATAGATGATTGAAAGAGAACGGACAAAAGATGCAAGTATAATTATTTAAATTGAGATGAAATAAATAAAATTAAATTAAAAGAATGAATAGGAGAGAGAAAATATATAGAAAATATAGAATGTTACATAAGATATGAAATAGTATACTATGTGAGCACGAATTTGATTTATGTCTGTACAAAAAGATTTAACCCGGGGTAAGCCGCTTTCCAAAAAGAAGTTTTATGTATTTATGTTTTGTGTAATGTTTGTTTATGTTTGAAAGGATGTTGGAAGAGAATTAATGAAACTATATATAATGAATATATATAATTTAAGGCAAAAGAAATACAATTAAACAGAAGGAAAGGGAGCAGTAAAGAGAGGTTGGGAAAGGATATGAAGTTGAACAGATAAGATATATATATATATATAATTGTGTTTGTATAGAAATGTGATAATTTGGAATTATCTTGTTTTTAAATAAGATATTCTATGTGTTTTTTAGAAAAAGATATTTTATGTTACTACATCCTATGTTTTGTTTGTTTGTGTATGTTTTTTAAAAAAATTAATAAAATTTGTTCAAAAAAAAAAGTCTTTTTTTTTTCTCAGCACCCCTCCATGCCCCATTTTTGGCCTACTGGGCCTCAGAGAAGCCTCCTGGGTGCTGAAAAAAGAAGCATTTTGAAGCTTTCCGGGGTAAGTACAACAGCGAGGGTGGGGGAATCAGCTGTGCTGCGTGATTTAGATTGGTTAGAAAGCAAGAAATCTGTTGATTTCCTGCTTTCTAGCTAATCTAAATCCCCCAGCACAGCAGATCGTCGCCTAGCTGATTGTTGGAAATACCAGTTCAGCTGAATTGGTAGCATTTTTTACTACTGGTTCGGGTGAACTGCGACAAACCAGCAGTATTTCACCTCTGGGTCAAACCATTTTCCAAAACACGCAAAAGCAAGACAAGAAACAATGGATAGAAACTAATCAAGGAGAGAAGCAACCTAGAATTAAGGAGAAAGTTCCTAAAAGTGAAAGCAATCAGCCAATGGAATAGCTTGCCTTGAGAAATTATGGTGCTCCGTTACTGTAGGCTTTTAAGAAGTAACTAGAGACAGCCACTTCTCTGAAATGGTATAGGGCAGGGGTGGGATCTGACTGGTGTTACTACCGGTTCAGTGATTTACGATTTGCGTGCGTATGTGCACTTCTTATGCACACGCGCCTGACATGCTTTGTGTGCGCGTGTATATTGTCGTCAGCTTTCTGCCTGGACAGCTGAGCAGCGCTGTGCGCAGGTACACAGTGGTTGAAAAAGCACTTTTTTCCTGATTTTTTAACCACAGCTGTGCTGCACAAAGCAGCTGCGGTTGAAAATCCAGGAAATAAAGGTCAGGTAAGAGCCCTGGCGGGCGGGTGAGCCAAAACAGCAGCAGACATATAACTGGTTCTATGTCTGCTTCTCTTCAGAGCTACCTGTTCTACAGAGCCAGACAGAACCGGTAGAATCCCACTCCTGGTATAGAGTCTCCTGCTCAAGCAGGAAGTGGAAGTCCTTTGAGGTCCCTTCAAATCTATTATTCTATGTTCTAACTTAGTCAACCTTCCTATAGTAAACATTTCAGAGATGCATGAAGACAACTGCTTCTTCTAAAATATTTGATGATTGTATGAGAGAAAGTCAGCTTTGTAAAGTAAAATTAAAAATGGTCAAAATACAGATTTACAGCTTTATTTTACCTGCAGTTCATCTTCTAATAAAATGCCAAGTGTTAAATCTATTTACAGCATGATACAGTTGCTGCAGGCAAAGTACTGAAAAACTGAATAAAAGCACTGGATACAAAACCAACTCTTCCTTGGAAGACATCTTTGAATTTACCTGATTTAGGATATGTGATTATAAATGTATCGTCATCATGGATTTCAAAACTTTCCAGTGAATCTATCTTTTCGGGTGAGGACAACACTGGTAAAAAATAACATCGTTTGTGTAGATATAGGTCCTTCTCTGATGGCTCCATTGTCTGACCTGTTGATCTAATAGAGAAATTGAAAATAATTGAGAATCAATTCAACATTGACCATATTAATAGTCAGTGTTAAGTGAATTCAATTCTTTCAAAATCATGATTCTTGGCAACATGAAGAAAAACAACATATATCATAAGATTTTTTTAAATTTGTCAATTGCTTACAAGATAATAGATATAAGTAAAAACATAGTTATGAATACATGGATACATATAAGAAAAATAAAAAAAATATAAAAGAAATAATAGGACAGGGACAGTAGGCACGTTGGTGCGCTTATGTACGCCCCATACAGACCTCTTAGGAAAGGGGTTTTACCTAATTATTTAGTTAGTTTCATGAACTCAATTTTCACCCACGCAGGTTTCCATTGCAAAGAGCAAAATTTGCTATTCTTCTAACAGTTCTATGTAGAAGAGAAAGTTTGAATTAAAGTACTAAGAATATATTAGTGGCAATTCTTTTCCTACTTTACTTTGTCTTATATAATCTCTGACAGTCAGTTACGTCATGTCTAAAAGCCAACTTTATTTACAATACTTTTTTCAATATTTTTGTATTCCTGTTCCTCAAATATTGAAAGAAGGATGATCTTTAGTCAAACATTGTGTCAGCACTGTATCTGCATTAAAAAAAGAGGTAAATGTCATCAGATACCTGGCTCATACTACCATATGTAGTGGACTTGTGAGGATGCTAGAAAATATTGGACTAAGATTCGCATATGGTTGGAAAAATGACAAAGACACATATAGACTTGAAACCAGAGATTTTTTTATTGAGAATCTTACCTGATATATATAATAAAAATTTGAAGTATTTGATTGTAAATATATTAACAGCACCTAGGATTGTATTTGCTAAAAACTGGAAGAGTGAGAAAACTCCATTAGAGGAAGAAATTATTAAGAAAATATTGGATTGTGCTGAAATGAGTAAATTGACATTTGAAATTAGAGAACAAGAAGATAAACAATTTTATGAAGTTTGGGATCTTTTTTATCAATGGTTAGATAATAAAACATAATATTAGAATATTCAGATTTAGCATAAAAATTTTTTTTCCTTTTTTTTCTTGATATTATCTTTATAAAACATTATCAAGATAGATTTGGTATGATCTTATGATTTATTGCAAAATAAACTAAGTAAACTATAGTTATCTCGTTAAAATATGAATTAACAAAATTATAGATAAATGATTTTTTTAGTGATGATATTAGGTTATACAATTATTGATTGATAATATGAGCTATTATGTAATATAACTATATTAGTGACTAGGAAATGGATGCACAAAAAAAAAGTGGTAAACCAATCGATGCACTGTTTGTAAATTTATGAAGAAGGATGATATTTTTATGTTTTATGTGGTATGTCTATGTTGTTTTGTTGTTAAAATAAAATTTTTTTTAAAAAAGAGGTAAAGAACATGGTAGAACATGATTAAGTAATAACCTAAGTAACAAGAATGGCAGAGACGGAAGTAACATTTATTTTACTAAGAAAAGAATTACTTGAAAACCATGATAGATGATAGAGGTCTATATCTTAGAGGCCTATCTAGGGATGACCATGGGATATAGGAAATTCTTTAAAAGCATGAATAAAATGTGTGCCTGGATGTGAGAACTGTGGAAAAGAATGCTTAGTGGGAAAAGATAAGGAAGAAGCCGTGGAAGAGAACAAACCCATGTAAGAGAACTATTGCTGCCAGAAATGAGGATGGGAGGTTTGTGAATGATATGCAGAAACATTCCTTCATGATAGTCCACACAAGAAGCAAGAACCACTTGTTGTGGAGCGAAGGGACAAATGAGGCCAAAGACCAGAGCATACAAGTGTAGACTTTATTCAAGGGAATAAAGGGTTGCTGCGTCTGCCAGCTAACAGGCAGACTGCTAGAGAACAACAACGGCTGGCTCCGTCCGGCAGCCGGCTTTTATAGCCGACTGTCAAACGGAGCCAACCAATGGGAGCTGCTGACGCTCCCGCCTAAAGTGCGGACCTGGTTGGGAACTCCAACCAGTTCCAAAGACATAACACCCCTCCCCTCTGGCTGGGTGCATGCATAGTCTTTGAGGTATGATGGAGGGCTTCGCTGGCGACCCGAACGTCGTAGCTCAGGGGAACCACCGGTTGGTATCGAGTCCAAGGAGCGTGGTTCCGAGACCGCCATGGAGCCCTCTGGGATTGGCACTGGATCCGGGGAACGAGAAGTCTCCCCTCGTTCGGGTTGGCTAGGTAGAACGTCTTGGCCTGGACGGTCGGAGCTCCCGCGGGGTGGACGTGCAGGAGCTTCTGGCCGGCCATCCAGGTCCGCTCTTGGCTCACTTTGTTCGAGTTGGGATGTCTGGCCCCTCAGGGAATTCCCCTCTGGAACCTGGGCGAGGATTCGAGGGTTGGCTGCTGGATCTGGCTCACCGCTGTTCCGGTCACTCCGCCGCCTGCGTAGCTGGTCCAGGTGTCTCCGCCATACTCGGCTGTCTTCTAGTTGGACCCGGTAGGACCTTGGACCGGTGATGGCCACGATCTGCCCTGGCACCCACAATGGATCTCCTGCATAGTTCCTTGCAAAAACTGGGTCCTGCAAGGCAAAGTCTCGCACCTGGCTGTCAGAACCCAAAGGGGTATCAGGACAGTAGTGGGGATGCAGTCTGTCAAGAGTGGTCCTCAAACGTCTCCCCATTAACAGTTCAGCCGGGGATTTGTTGGTGCTAGTGCATGCGGTTGTATGCTGGCTGAGGAGGAAACGGGATAACTTGGAATGCCAGTCTTCCTGACCGAATCTGGCTAGTGCCTCCTTAGCCGATCTGACGGCTCTCTCCGCCATCCCATTACTAGCATGGTGAAAGGGGGCCGTGAGGACGTGTCAGATACCCAGGTTCGTGACATACCTGCTAAATTCGCAGGACGAGAACTGCGGCCCGTTGTCGGAGACTATCGTGTCCGGGAGCCCATGAGTCACAAAAAGTCTGGTCAGGGCTTTGACAACTGCCTGCGTGGTGGTTGTGGGTAGCAAGGCAAGGTCTATCCATTTAGAATACGAATCCACGACCACCAAGAAAGTCTTGCCATGGACCGGACCGGCCAGGTCGATGTGTAACCGTGACCAGGGGGCATTGGCACTTTCCCACTTTGTGGGTGAGGCTGCTGGTGGGGCTGCTCTGGATTCCTGGCAGGGTTTACAGGAGCTTACCCACTCTGCGATCTGATCGTCCATTCCGGGCCACCATACGTAACTGCGAGCCAATGCCTTCATTCGTACGATACCCGGATGGCCCTCGTGCAGCACCTTCAATATGGGCACGCGAAGGGTGGATGGGACAACAACTCTGGTACCCCACAGCAGGCATCCCTGGAGTTTTGATAGTTCCTGTTGACGTGTTTTAAATGGGACAAAATCAACTGAACACTTCGTTTCCGGCCACCCCCTTCCCACCCAGTCCAGAACCTGGACGATTAGTCTATCTTTCTTGGAGTGTGCCGCGATGTCATCAGCAGTTACAGGTAGCTTAAGTTCGTTGACTTTGAAGATTGCGTGCACGGGAGCTGGGTCTTCAACTGGGGTCGGTAAAGGGCAGCGGCTGAGAGCATCTGCGTGGCTTAAGGTCTTACCGTGGCGATGGATCAACTTGAATGAATAGGCTGCCAGAAACAATGTCCATCTGGTCATCCTGGGGGACAGAACTTGTGGAGTTTGCCTGTCCCCCGATAAAAGTCCCAAGAGTGGCTTGTGGTCTGTAATGAGTTCGAAATGGTGGCCAAAAAGGAATTCGTGAAATTTTTTGACTGCCGCTACTGCAGCCAGAGCCTCCTTATCAATCTGGCTGTAGTTTCTTTCAGTCATGGAAAGTGTCCTGGAAAAGAAGGCAATTGGTGCCTCTGTGCCATTGGGGAGTCTGTGACTAAGGACAGCTCCTATCCCGAAGGGGGATGCATCAGCGGCCAAAACCAAGGGTAGGTGTTGGTTGAATTGAATTAAAACGGCGTTGGAGGTGAGTAGAGATTTGATCGCTTTGAATGCAAAGGATTCCTTGGGGCCCCAGTGCCACGGAGCGTCTTTATCTAACAACCTGTGTAAAGGTTCAGCGACTGAAGCTTTGTGTGGTAAGAATGAGGCGTAGAAATTTAATAAACCCAGGAAGGCTTGCAGTTCCGCTTTATTATTTGGCGTGGGTGCCTCGTGGATGGCTTTTACTTTTGATTCCACTGGGTGGATGCCTGAGGCATCTAGTCTATATCCTAAAAAGTCCACCTGTTTAGTGGCGATGGTGCACTTCTCCCGTTTGAGTTTGAGACCATGCTGTCTAAACTTCTCCAATACTGCTCTCACCCTCTGGAGGAGCTGGGGCCTGTCCTTAGCTGAGACCAAAATATCATCAAAATAGGGGACTACTCCTGGAAGACCCTGGAGGATTCTCTCCATTAGTGACTGAAAAATCCACGGGGCCACGCTAACGCCAAATTGGAGGCGCTTGCACCTAAATGCCCCTCTGTGTGTTACGATTGTTTGTAAGTCTGCTGTGTGGCTGTTGACAGGGAACTGTTGATATGCCTGCGACATGTCAAGCTTGGCAAAAATTGTGCCGGGTTCAAAAGTGTGCAATAGGTGCTGGATAACTGGAACGGGGTATGCGCTAACCTGGAGATAATGGTTAAGTGTCGTCTTGTAATCAGCACAAATTCTCAAACTACCGTCCTTTTTAAGTGGTGTGACTATGGGGGTCTCCCACTTGGCGAAATCTGTGGGCTCAATTACCCCTTGCTTGAGAAGTTTGTCTAGTTCCGCATCCAATTTGGGGCGGATGGCGAAAGGTACTCTACGGAATTTCAGGCGGACAGAAACTGCCTGGGGGTCTACAGAGAAAGAGATGGGTGTGCCATTGTAGCAACCCAGCTCGCTACTGAAAACATCGGAATAGTCAGAGAACAATGTGTCTACATCGGAAGTTGAGATAGCATGAATCCCTGTGACATTAAGGCCAAGAGAGGGGAACCAATCTAACCCCAAAAGACTAGGGAGGGTACCATTAACCACCACTAAAGGCAAATGGCCTTTGAAGGTTTGGAATTTAACAAGGAACTTGCCTTTCCCGAGGACAGGGATGTTCTTGCCTTGATAGTCTCTCAGCGTGAGGTGGCACTTTTGTAGCTGCTTCCGGGTCAGCCTGGGTTGAATCCTTTTCAGCGTCTCCCAGGAGATGATTGAGAGCGCTGAACCGGTGTCCACCTCCATGGTACAAGGTTTACCTTCTAGGGAGAGAGAGAGTTTAATCTTATTAAGAGTTTGGGAAGTGTGGTTGGCGTGGTAACACGTGCAACAGTCTTCTACTTGCCTTTGGAGGCTAGGAGATGAGGGAAACTTCTGGGATGGAGCGCGTGCTGCCTGGCAGACTCTTGCAAGGTGACCTTTCTTGTGGCAGTTAAGGCA